CGCACTAGATTGGGTTTTTGTTGTTTCTTACCTTTTCAACAGAGCATTGTGGTTCTTCTATAGTGAAGGTACTGGGTGTAGAACATTCAACACCACATTTTTCCAATATTTTGAAGATCAACACTCGTAAGCAGAAGAAACCAGGACTCAGTTTTCATGGAAATGCACATTTACAGTGAATCGTGTTGTGGTAGATGTGTTTCTTGTTGCATTTCATTTTGTGTTCCGCTGGGATTGTTGTTGGTCAAAAGGATTGTCATTTGATAGTTCACATTTAAGTTGAGCGTTTCAATCTTGACTTTACAATTTCGTATACTAGGTGTGTCTCACATTTAGAGTCTACTTCGGGTTGGTGATCCCATTTGATGGTCTGACCTTGTTTTGCACCTTACAAATTTCCATGGATTCCAACGCCTTGCAAGTTGAGTTGTCTTTTGTTCACCGGGGAATATATTTTGTGGATGGTGTAGGATTGTAAGTATGAGTGTCTTCTGTTGGTCAAACTCTGGGCTTCAGGACTGCCAGATGCCAGCTTTCTGGATCGCATCACCGACCAGCTGTCGAAGTATCTCAACAGCGCTCCGACCCGCGAGGCATTGCATGTTGGCCTCAGGAGATCTTGGGCAAAGGGCACAGTTGAGGTTGAGAGTGAGGATAGTGTCATGGGCCATTCATTCATATTGCCTTGGTCATGGCAGTTCTTTTTGTGGCTCGATGCACATCGACATGGCATACGGACTTGCACCCCGTACCCCGTGCCCGGTACCCCGTGCCGTTCCAGCGAGGACGTGGCGCCAGAGCGACGAGACCGGCCCTGTGGCGGATGCCTTGCTGGCAGACTTCGAGACGGAGCAAGGCACCCGAAACGGTCCCGCGCCGTTTTCACCCTCCCCGGGCCGGTCCGGCGGTCCGGGGAGCCGAAAACGAGCTCAAGCGGTTGGGGTAGATGGGAGGGAACATGGTTGGCTGATGTCACCGGGAAGGCATGGCTGAGAAGATTGCAATCCATCGGAACAGGATGGACCTCCCGATATGAGTATCAAACTGAGATGCATGCTGCATGCTTCGCAAGTGTTGTCCGGGTGTTGAATGTCTGCCAAAACATCAAATCGAATGACACCTTGGAGTCCAAACGTTTGGATCGATTTCCCTGCCTCCGTTGGGGTATAACGTCCGGATCCTGGGTGATCCTGGGCCCGACTCAGGTGGCGAGTCTTCCAATTGAAGATATGAATCGTTTCCAAATGGTTCTCAGTGCCTAGAGTACACTCAGAGTAGGGGAACAGGACTGTTTGGAAAAGCATCAGCCCATCGTAAAGCCGTTTCCTTTCCAAGCCGTCTGCGGCCTAAGCTGCCGCCGCGTTTGTCGCTGAGAGGAATGCGTGTCATCGAGGCCTTGCTCGAGAAAGGCCGTTTGGGCGGAGGAGACTTTTCTTTTGAATGCTCGATGCTGCGTCCGCGGGTGGTTGGAGCAAAACCACCAAAACCAGTTCTGCGACCGGTCGCCATAATCGACGGGCTGTTCTGAGTTAGGAGACAATGTGTGTTTGTGGATTGGGCTTGGTTTGAGCCGTGGTTTCGGATGGCCGGCAAGACTGGAGGCTACCAGGTGGTGAGTTACAACGGCGTCCGGGATGGCTCAGCCTGGGGCCCAGGCAGCTCCTGTCAGGAGCAGACGCGCACCATGAGATCCAGTTGTTTGTTCACATTTGCACCTGCGCAGACCACGGCCACCCAAGAAAGTGCAGGTCTGTATTTCGGAACATGATTCTTAAGATCTCCAAATGTTCAGTTTCCACCTGTTCCAGTTTGCTTTCACTGATGGAGGATGGCATTTTCATGCTTTTTGCCGGAGATGTCGACCGGGAGAGGTCGTCTGGCGTGTGCACTCAGCACCTCTTAAGTGAGGAGTGGCCTGGATTGTGGTAACCACTCTACCACTCCAGAGAGCTGCTGAGGTTTGCAACCATTTGGGCAACTTGCTCTCCTTGCCCCTCAGCCAGCATAGATTGGGAAACAAAAAATTCGCAATAGCCTAATAGCATCCACTGAAGACGGTAACTACACATCACAAGCAACTCCACAATCTTCACTACGAAGAGATATTGTATCAGGACACCCTATGGGGTGCCAATAGATGGCAAGGGGCCCTCTTTGGAACCCCTTGGTACGTTCCCAGAAACGCGGTTGCATTCTTACACAAACTGAGTGAGATGCAACATTTGCTAGCCACATAATATGCAGAAGGCACTCTCCCTCTCTCTTTGTATATATATAGCGTAATTACAAGAATTATATAGCTATATAGATCTATAGGCTGATTTCAGGAGAAAGTGGGACCTGGGTAAAACACAGTGTTGTCCCTGCGATGCCATTTTTTGGGAGACAAATAATCGGCTTCATTAGCATGATGACCTGGCCGGAGTGATTGCCAAAGGTCAACCTAGCTTTCGGGAATAGCTGGGTTACAAGGAACCCGCGTTGCTCAAAGCCCATGCTCCAAACATCACAGGAATTGGTTGTTCCCCCCCAGGGTCTCACGCGTGTGGCGGATGTGCTTCACCGAGGAAGGCCCTGCAGTGGCCCGGCCGCAGCGCCTTTGCGGACGCAGCGACCGAGCCGTGGCGTCCTTTAGGGCAGCTGGCAGGCGACCGGGGCGACGACCGCGGGTGAAGTGGACAGGTTCAGCTGGGAGTTGAGTTGGGTACATTGGAAGGGGGTTGATGTGGAATTACTGACATATTGGGGATGGGACGGTATGAAGCTGCAAGACATTGGAGCTTGTCTCGCCCGAACATCATTTCACCTCATTCGTTATTGCCTTTTCTGCACCCTCCCACCGTGTGCTCAGGGATTTGCGAGTGTGTTGGTTCGCGCTAGAGAGATCTCAGGACATTTTCTACATATCTGCGGGTGAAAAAAACACTGGCCTTTCCTGCAAAGTCAGTTCGATTGTCGCAGGAAAGATACCTGTGCGAAGATGTTTTGCAAAACATGTTTGCAAAGCCACGCTGGGGAACAATTGCAGGCTACAAGCGTTCCGCTCACCCCTTGAGCTACTACACGGTGCTGTACACAGGTGGGGCGGCAGTGGCGGAAGTTGGCCCGGGATTGGCAGTGTTATAATAAGGCGTTGGTAAGTTTCACAAAAGATGCATGGACTGCATGGAAGTGGACATGTGGAAGACATGGAAGGAAAAGAGATACTGGCACAACGTAACTTACAGTGTTTGGTGGTAAACTTGGTGGTGCAGGATTTCTTCCATCAACCGCCTGATAAGCACTATCCTCTCGCAAAAAATGTTTTGCCGTTTCCATGTTTGCTGCCTTTAATGTCACATGATGTTTTCAAGTATGTTTCAATTGTTTCGCGCAGAGCATGCTTCAAACGACCGCCTGTCTAGCATCTCGCCTCCCCACCACCCCACTTGGCACCTCTGCATCCATCCATCCTCACTGGCACCAGACACAACCGGACGAATTCTTCCATATGTATCCATATGTCGCAACCTGACGCAACCGGACGCAACCGGACGCAACCGGTTCCACTCCGAGGACATTTGGTGCCCATGATCGTCCCAGACGTGGCCCGAGCGCTGATTGGCGAAATTGTTGGAGTGGCCACGCCCTCCTCGGTGATCGTTTGAGGTGGAGCAAGTGGACAACCGCGGTGCTGGGGGGATGTTGTTGTTGGCACGGCCTTCATGGCGTTTTCATGGCGTTTTCATGGCGTTTCGCTTGGTTCCGGGTTGTTCATGGCGTGTGCCAGGTGAGTGAGACCACTGAAACACTTTTTGAAATATTTTGGAACAGAGGAACAGAAGAGTTCAAAGACTTGTTGTTTTAATCTTTTCATATTTTTTGCTCCGGAGCTTCGTGAAAATTCAACGGTCACCCTGGATGTTCTGTCTTGACCCATTCCTGTCGGAAGCAGGTTCACCTGGTTGCCATCTACAGCAGTTCCTGGGATGTGCTGCTGGAGGGCAGTGCATCGGTACCCTGGCCGGCAAGACGCTTTAGAAGCAACATGCTGTTCTGAAACTGAAGGGTTTGAACGTTGCACATGCCTTTGAAATCCTGATGAATCGGATATATGGTTAAACCTTTCAAACCCTGGCCACCCTACCCATCATCCACTCCGAAGTAGCCGAGACATCCTGAGATCATTTGAGATGCAATTTAAGACATGGCTTTTCACTGGGCCAACCTGGAGACATCGCTGTTCGACGCTGTTCGCTGGAGACCTGCCGCGCTTCGTTGTTCGCTGGTCCAATCTTTCGAGACCTGGCCCGTTTTCGTTGTTGACCGTTTTCAACCTCACTTGCCAAGCTTGAAGTTTGTTGATCAATAGACACATATGCTGACCTTTGTCTTAATCATCTGACAACAAATCTTGGGGAGACCCCGGAACCACAACTTGGATCGGACTTTGCAGGGCTCAGGGGCGGCTTCCAGGCACCACATATGGCCCCATCACCAGAGTGCGGGACAGGCAGCAGAAGAGGGGAACCATACCTGATTGATCCCGATTGTACATTGCAAAGGCATTTCATGGGGGCACAAGTGCTGTTCAAGCATGTGCTTTTGATGCCCATAGAACCTGCGATCTCTTGGTTCTTTTGACGTTCCTTTGCGCCAGAGATTCGTGAAAAGAGCGCTTCTGAGGCAGAGACTCGCACAGTGCCACCAAAAGAGCCCTGTGCGTTCTGGGCACATGCTGTGAGTTCTAAGGCACCAGGACCAAGGCCCAATCCAAGGCCATCCAAAAGCCCAACCCTCCGTTGGTGGTGAAGTTGAGGTGTGACACCAGGTCTTTCTCTGTGTTTCTCAGAGATGATTCGAGTGTGGCCTGGGTTCCAACGAAATATATGGGCTTGGTATTTTGAGAGTCCAAACGGTATATATTTGTGTACTGCATATGTTGATATGTTGAATATGTTCATATATGTTCATATGATCTCGGATGCTGGATGCTCCATTCACTGTTTCTTTTGGTGCAGGGCCAAAGCCAAGCTGAGCCATGAGGATTTTTCTCAGGCACTGATTTGGGAAGGATTGACGTTCGCAACAGCTTTATTCATGAAGGCGGTTTCAAGTGTACAGTATATTTCATGAACCAAATCTTAGTATAGAGATGGAGGGCACAGCCTGTTTGTGCCATGTTTGGGAGCATCCAACAGTACTTGGACCAATCAAACCACTTAGCATCTTCGGTGCAGATCAGCGGAACCTCAGCATTTTCTGTCTTACGGAAAGGGTGAAAAGGTACGGGCTGGGAAGATCAAATCAGTAGTAGATCCTTCCTAAAATGGCATGGGCTGTTTTTGGAGCCCAAGCATTCGGAGAAGTTCTCAGACCAAGCAACTGACGACCCGAACAGCGCAGGCGCACCACACGCTGAAGGACCACCGCGGCCACGAAGTGAAGTTCGAAGACCAACCGGAGGTGTGGACGTGAGGACGAGGGGGAGGAAGAGTCATCACGAAAGGTAGCTTGAGCTACCTGAGTTCTCCTTGCTTTAGCAATAATGTATTACAATCAGGAGTTGGGATTGTGCATTGAGTTTGGTCCTGTAAGAGTTGATTCTGTTCGTCGGGGGGGGGGGGCCCTGGATCAAATCCTCCCTCCGCCGGTTCACGCCGTCATGGACTTTTACCAGGGTTGCTTGTGATTGCCTGCTACCTTTCGTTCACCCCCTCCTCTCTCAAGTTGTACTTGCCGGGGCACGGCCGGCTCGGCTTTTGGTTATTTGATGTTATTTGAAATGAATCTGGTTAGTCTTCTGTGTCCAGTGAGGAGTTCGGGTTCCCATCAGAATCTCCCGAACTCGTTCTTCACCCGACGACTTCGGGATGTTCCGCAAAGGCGAGGTTTCCCACCGGAACTCCGCAATTCCACGGCAGGAGAACGATGATATACGATTGTCACTTCCCCTCTCCTCCAAAAATTAAGAAGTATATAAATCGATGTGAGATGGGATGCCAATGCATTTTTTCTTCGTTTCTTTCGATGTGCAGGTGCCCCAGCAGGAGGACATCGTCCTGCGGCTCTGGCGGCGGCTTCCGGAGGCGCGCGTGGTGAGCGGACCCGAGCCGGTGGGGACCCACGTGAAAACGGCAATCGCCGTTGCTGATGTGCCACCGGATCGCCAAGCTGTTCCGTGACACCGGGGTGTTTCGCGGGGATCGTTGTTCTTTCTGAGGCGATTGGAAGGTCTTTTCAGCGCACTGACATTGGTGGTTCAATTTCACTCTTTGGTCCGTTGATGTTTCAATTGTATTGTTTCCACAGCAACACACTGATGGAGCTATGGCTGGGTCGAGCTTGCACTGCCAGCTTGACGATTCTGGCGATTTGTTCTTTGGGTGATGTGATCCGATGTTTTTGGCTAGCAGCTAGAGCGTCTCCTCACCTTACCATATTGAACGACAAGGATAATTTGGCTGTGACAAGAATTGAGTGGCATCTCGACAAGCCTGCAGATGCACATCGGTGTCATGGGGAAACCTGAAAACCAGTTTGCTTACTTACCAGAAACAGTTTTTGATGGTGTTTGGTTCACGCTGAGAGGCTGCACTGCAAGCTTTTGCTCGGCCTACCCAAACATGCGAAAGCAGCTTCTACCAGAAACTGCCTTCCTGTTTGAAGCTCTACCGACCTTTTGACTCCGAGGAAGCTTTTTGGTCGCTTGGTCAAAGACCTTGCTCAGCAAGCAGCAGTCTCGAGGGGAGGGGGACCATTGAACGTAGCGCTTGTGCCTGATGCTGTGCTGATGCTGCAAGTTGTCTCAGAGAGTTTGTGCGTGGAGATCTTGGGTGCCTAGCAGAAGATGGCAGAGGGATGTGGCCGAAAGAGTGCTTGTGCGAAAGATGTACTCTCCACGTACCACTTATGAATGGTGTCAGCCACACCTCTTAAAAGCTGTGAAGGAGACGGATCAGCAGCGAATCCGTGTCTTGATGGACGAGGAACAGAAGAAGGGTCCGGGCTGGTGTGAGAAAAGAGTGCGTTGGGGGGTCCTCAGACTGCTTTCTGGTGTCTTGGACTGGTTGGTGGAACTGAACGGTTCTCTTAGTCGTGAATTTGCCTTTTCTGCTTCGCTGCTCCTTGTTGTGGAGAGGCTTTTTCCTTTTTTGTCGCGGAAGCTGGCCACCCATCTGGCTTTGGGGGGGGCCAATCCACGAGGAGAGAGTTGATGCAGTAGGCTTGCGAGCAAAAGGTGGGGCTTTGGGAGAAAGCACTTGAGAAATATTGACATAGGTGCCTTTTTCGTTTAAAGAGGCAATTGCACGGCCGCCATGATGCACAGCCAACTTCCTGCACTGTTTCCATCGCCCAGACACCGCTGCCAAACCTCTACTGGCTGGGCGGTCTCTTTACTGCCTTTTGGGCGTGCGCCTGACAACTTCGCGTTCCGTGCCGATGGGATACGAAAGGACCAGACAACGGTTGAATCAGAGGACAATCGATTCAGATGAGGTTTGTTTGATCGACCAGAAGCCTGCGTTCTGTGTCACCCAAGACTGACTCTACCCTTTACTACTTTTGAGACGTCCGATGGGTTGCGTACGTGCGGTGCCTGAAGTCTTGCCGAATTCAGAACGACTTGGTAACCTATAGGGCACAACTGGCAATAACTAAACCCCCCCAAACAAAAAAATATATATAGATATAATCAATCATATATTACCTGAAACCTATGTTGTTTGGCTTGGCCAATGGCCAAGAACTGAAATCCTCGGACCACGCCGCTTCCGAAGACCTGCTGTTGCGTGGCAGGTACCGAATGTGGGGCGCCTTCAATCGGCTGATGGTCATTCGGTGCGAAAGCTGAGACGTTTTGGTGCACGTGTGGGGTCGATGAAACTGATGAACCACTGCAGGTAGTTAAATGTCAGGTATGGATGATGGGGTGGCATCAGCAAGAGTTGTGGTTACATTACATGTTAGTCCACATACTTTGACACCGCGCTCGGGGAGTCGGTGATCTTGGCAGCCTGAAACGTTGATTGAGGACACTGTTCTTATTGGTTAGGTGCAGGTTGCAGCTGATCTGGCGTGGCCGGGTGTTCTCAATGGTTTTGAGGGCTGCGTTTTGTTCGGATTGGTGAGAGGTGGTCAACGAACCCTCCGTCGACAAAGATGGAGTTCTAGGCTCAATGATCTCAAGCCAGAGAGTAATGAAGTTGCAGAAGGGTAGTTGTTGTGTCCCAACCCCATTACTTACTACTTAGTACTGCTGGTGCAGCTGCTACTGGTACTGGTACTGGTAGCGGTAGTGGTAGTGGTAGTGGTAGTAGTAGCAGTAGCAGTAGCAGTAGTAGCAGTAGTAGTAGTAGTCGTAGTAGTCGTAGTAGTAGTAGTGGTGGTGGTG